CCTAGTTCTTATTTATTTCGCTAGTATTGAGGATTACCTTTGTAACTTCAGTTTTTGTTATGCGATATTAAAGAAATCTTGAATTCACATGAAATGTCTGGACTCTCAGTTTCGAATCCTTGGTATTACTAGCACACAGCTACACAACAGGAGCAACTGTGCCAATTCTGTTTCTCCTATTATCTGCATCTTTCACACCATATACACACGTGGTGCTAAAGAGATGTTTCATTTACTCATTCTTGGATGCTTGTACCACTGTTGACTGATACACCGCTTCGCCGGTTACCTGAGAAACGGATGTCATGTCCGAGCCTGCAGATTTATTTTCTTCTCTGGCTACGACGATACGTTTCTCATTCACATTTCTGTCCTGAAAATTAGCCACATGACTGTTCAGAACTTGGTGGGCGAGAGGCCGTATTGATGATTCCCGTCCTTACCCGCACACATTGCTCGGTCTGTGTTTGCAGCTACGGGCTGAAACACAGACTTATCACATAGTAAAATGTCCTTCGGCACATGACATGACCAATCCTTCCATTCTACAATTTCGCAAATAATTGTGGATTGTTACTACAAACTTGCTTCGCTGTTCTCTTTTTCCGATCTTTGAAAGTAAGTATGTGGCCGCTATCCCCCTGTTTTCGATATGTCGTCCGTGCAGCACCAGTCAGCTGTCGCCCGTTAAGACTCACTGTCCTTTATCTGATAGCTTACGTTTTGCTAGTCTCTCAGACTATTTAGTGTGCACATACGATTTTCCATCAGTGCGCTGGTGGAGCATTAGCAACAAACTGTGAAAAATCATGGCAGTTTGATGCGCGCCTTTTTATTCGACATGTGCTGTTCGACATGTTAATAATTCGACATGTTAATTGTTATAAAAACAGTGACAGTAATAATATTATTCTTTTTTAGTTGGAAGCAGGAGTTTGTTCGTAAAGTTGCAAGCAAAAGTGCCCAGGGTGGTCAGGAAGTAATTATATATCGAATGGGCGACTTCGTTGATTTGCCGGAGGGGCCTTTGATACCAAACACGAATCAAATTGGGAAGTTTTCTTTAACTAAGGTAGTGTTTCAGTAAAATTAAGAAATGTTGCTTTCGAAAGATCAGAGTCGAATAGGTACAAATACTTTTCATATTGTTCAATTTCGCAGAGCTGTGTTTGAATTTTTCGATATTTTAGTCTGAAAACACCCGTGACCCCTAAGATTAATGAAAAATATCGGTCGAGATAGGATTGGTGATTCAAGACAATTTTCAGGTTGAACACGACGGCGTCGAATATCGTTTTTCTGGTGTGTCGGTTCCGAAAGATTTGAAATGTTCGTCGTACTCATGGGATGTTATCTGTGATGCTTCTGTGATGTCTGTTTCTGAACAGCACAGACTGCATCAAATCTCCGCCTGAGCGCATTTCTGTTTATTTGATGTATTAAAATGAATTTACTCTTAATTCGCGTACATAAAAATAAGTTCGGATTTGGATCATAAAAAGGTTGTTCGCTTTACACTCACATACCTCGTCTAGTGTTTGCAAAATTTTGCACCTCACAAATTTTTTTCATAATTTGTGCAGACCTTGTCATGCCTTCGCTTGTAGTGTGTGTTGTGTCATTTTCATTGTATGTTCGAAAAATGTGCCCTATTGTTAATGGATGTTTTGTTTTGTGCTTGCATTTTTTCCAGTAAAAATTTGAAACTGATGAATGCCCTGCACGGATATAGGTTAAATTCGCAAATACGCTGGGTACGCTGCGCTATGTTAAACGGTACCAGTATCACAGAAAATTGGCCAACGCACGGGCTG